GTTAAGATAATTTAAACATTTATATGTTTTTAACCATTCAATGTATTTTAATCAATTTTATAATTTGTTTTCATGTATAACTTATTGTGTTAATTCTTTTTTTAAAAACATTGTGAGCCGCCTTAAGTCCTCTTATCGACAGAAAAGAGATGTATAAATAAGACAGACAGACAACAGTGGCAATAAATGGGTCCAGTTACTTTAAGAATGAATTACTGCCATTCATTCCTACATGAAGAAGTAATGCTTTGATTTTTAGGACAGCATCCAGGTGACCCCGCTCTCCACCCTTGCCACTAACAATAGGGATTATGTATTTAAAAAGAGAAGGAGAGTATAATGTATCTGCATGTAAAAGCACTACATTTTGCAGTCCCTGCACTTCATAAGCTGTACACGGTCAAGGCCCATCATAAGGGTGTTCATTTTGCTGTATCTTCATATACAAAGATAAAGAAAACAAGAAGATCAAATTCAAGTTTCACCTCTAATAGTAAAAAATATAACATTTTCTATTTTATATATTTATAGAATTCTAAAACTGTACTACCTAATGAAGCATATTTAGCAAATATCTGTATGCTTTGCACACAAAGATTCAATGACCAAAATTCTGTTGCTTAGAGTCATAAATTGCACTAGGTCCTCTGAGTTGATGAGAATTTGGTTAATCAACTGTTCTACAAATTCCATTGATTCAAATGGATCTACTCAGACTTTTTCAGCATTGTAACTTGCAATTAGAGTAAGGTCACTTTTAATCAATGGAACTTACAGAGGAGCTGATTCGCCAAATCCCCATTAATTCAATGAATCTGCTCTAGTGCAATTTACTATCCTAAGCAAAAGGATTTTCACCATTGGGTTTTAAACACTATACTGTCAAGTATCCTATAATCGTATTATTACTAATTTATACTTTTAATGTATGATATAAGCATATTACTACTTCAAGCAACACATTTCAAATATTTAAAGCATTTCACACATATCATCCCTGTAATCAAGTTACAAGTGTCCGTATTATTCGCATACCACCATGGAGAAACTAACTGGGCAATTTCCTGCACCATATTCCCAATCACTAATTTTTATTACAGAAATCACATAGTTCCTTGTTTTTTGAATTATGCAAAAGGAATAACACAAAGTGATTTTATTTTATTTTTTTAAAAAAGAAAAGCTTTGGGTTGTATCTAATGCTGTCACTGTGCCAGCAAAAAGCACCGTTTGAGAGCATAAGCAGATTTATTTATTTATTTTGAGAACAATTCTTCCTGCAGTCCCACCATGTACTTTAAAAAAAGCTAAAAACCTGTTCCAGAAGGCTGGAAACCCTTTCTGGGATGTTGTTTTGGATGACAAGGAAAACTGTAAGAAGAATGAGGAGGAGGAGGGGTCCCAACACCCCACCCTATCTCAAACTATACAGTGAATTTATTTAGGTCTAACTCATTAAATATTTTTACATTAAAGTAAAAAAAAACATTCTGCATCAATACAGAATCATCATACCCATAGGCAGCACATAATAAAACTGTGTATGTTACCTTGTCCACAAATAAAATCATTAAGTATCAGCGGTTTAATAGTCTGCTAAAAACCATGTTCTTTTACTGAATGGCTATATACTGGATCTTTCTGTTTTTATATCTGTATCCATATAAAGTGATCTAAAGAAACCTATCTAATATACATGCCAAATACAGTGGTGCCCCACTTGACGATTACCTCGTTAGACGAGGAAATCACTTAACGATGAAGGTTTTGCAATCGCAAAAAATGATGTTTTAATAGGGAAAAATCACTTTACGACGATCGGTTCCCTGCTTCGGGAACAGATTTTTCACTTAATGACGATCAAAACAGCTGATCGTAGGATCTTTAAAATGGCCGCCTGCTGTCCAAAATGGCTCCCCGCTGTGTTTTAGATTCCTAGCATTACAGGCACCAGAAAATGGCCGCCCTATGGAGGATCTTCACTGGACGCTGAGGTATTTCGCCCATTGGAACACATAGGACCGGTTTTCAATGCATTTCAATGGTTTTTTTTTACTTTCGCTTGATGATGATTTCATTCTACAGTGATTTTGCTGGAACGGATTATCCTCGTCAAACGAGACAACACTGTAAATAGTGTTGCAAATGATCCAGGTAACCATTCATTTAAATTCAAAGTTAAAACTTGTTTACTAGTTAGAATACTCAATTCTTCATAAAACTATCAAGATGTGAAACTGCAAGATGCCATCTTTTCACTAGGGCCAGAACAAAAGATACTTGGTCCGAATACAACTACATATACTAAGACATAAGGCTGTGTTTGCTGAATATTCAGAAAATTATTTATGAAGTACAGTGGTGCCTCGCATGATGACGTTAATTCGTTCCACAAAAATCACTGTCAAACGAAAACGTCGTCATGCGATTTTAAAAAGCCCATAGAAACGCATTAAAACCCAATTAATGCATTCCTATGGGCTTAAAACTCACCGTCCAGCAAAGATTCTCCATAGCGCGGCCATTTTCGCTGCCCGTGCAGTGAAGAATCCGTGCCAGAAAACAGCGGGTGGCCATTTTGAAGCCGCCTATCAGCTGGCCGAAAATCATCGCTTTGCAATGATCAGTTACCGAAACAGGGAACCAATCATTGCAAAGCGAAATTCTCCCATAGGGAACATCATTTTGCGATTGCTTTTGCGATCGCAAAATCTTCAACATAATGCGATTTCATCGTCAAACGGAGCGCTTGTGAAGCGAGGCACCACTGTAGAAACCCTAAAATTAGGAAGCACTCAAAACCTCAGTAAATCAAAACACATAAAACAGGTATGATTCTTTAAAACAACCACCATAACGAAAGAAAGAAAGAAAGAAAGAAAGAAAGAAAGAAAGAAAGAAAGAAAGAAAGAAAGAAAGAGTGACAGATTAAAGCCATGTGACCCAAGTTACTGCTTCCATCTGAGTACACAGCTGATGACAACTCTGCGGTTATAAACAGCAATGACATCATCAGCCATGGACACTAATCTTCAAAGTTTCCTGTCTCCCTCTGGATTTTGAAGCTCCTTGGGGCTTCCTTTCAACTTGGAGAAGCCTTTGGAAGCCCTATGATTGGGACAGACGGCAACATTTTTTGGATCTCTCACTATCCCGCGGCTCTCAAAGGCTTCCTCAAGACAAAATGAATCACTTAGGGAGTCTTGGGACTAGAGGAGAAGGTAGGATACTTTGAAGTTTAACATAAATGGTCTGCGAGGCCATCACCTTTTATAACTGTGCAGCTCTCCCAATAGGATTTCAGCTACTATATTTTTCTTGTAAAATATTCCAAAGGTATCATTTTGGCAGACCTATTTTGACAGCTACCAAAGCAAGTCTGTTGTAAGTTACACTGCAATTACCACTGGTGACCTTATATCAAAAAAGGTACAAGTAAGGTTGGAAAGGTAGACGAAAATGGTTGAGGTGGTAGCATAACTTTCAAACAAGAAAGAGCTAAAGTATTTTTAACTGAGAAAACAGGAAAACTATGAAACAACATTACAGGCCTTAAGAAATTATCTACGGTGCTCCTTAATAAGTCTGGGGAACAGTAGATGCAGGACGGACAATCAATCTACACATAACACACTATTTATGGAATTACTACCATAAAATGAAGTAATATTCACTAGCTTAACAAATAGAATACTTTAATTGCTTTTGAAGGGAACCTGCAAGTTTACAGTTAAGTCTCTTAGCTGCAATCAAGTATCATATTTAAAGAGAACCTCCATTTTTAAGGCAGCAAGGGAGACATGATCTGAATGCCAAACCTCTGACATGACCAAACAAGGATTGCCAGAACACAACATTTTGTAGTCATGATGTAGGTCCATGGGTAGGTCCAATCTGTAGACTGGAAACTAGGATACAACTACCTTAACTCTGACTTTTCAAACATCTTATTATGGAATTTTTTATATTAGTTATCTGAATAACAGACTGTCCCACACCATTTTAGAAGCTGTTCTTTCCAGTTGCTTTTTTCTGCCTTAGTCTCAAGACCCTCTTGCCATACAGAACATCAGACAGAAAGCTCCCTTGAATGTATAACTAAGAATATCTCTGGAACCTGGCCAGGTATTTAAAAACCAACAAACTTTGGAGTATTAACTGTGGAACTGAAATGAGGATAGTAGAATTCCCCAGGAATTATGCCTTGAAATTCCTATTAGTAAAGAAGTTACTTAAGATTAGATAGCAACCACGTTAATGTACATGCTGTGGAATACTAACCCATTATATTAATTAAGTAATTATCAAGGTGAATAAAATAACCTTAAAAAAATAATAAAAGGGTGGGATTTTTATCACAGAATTTGTTGAAACATCCAAAGATATGATTCCAGATTATTTGATGTTAGAGATGAAATTGCCATATTTAAATATTTGTGTCATTACACATTAAATGCTGAGTCTGTCTTTCTACTTTATGGCATTTGATCTATGAAGACAGTGAAATTTTTAAAAATAATAATTTAAAACAACTTTATTTCAACTATGTAATCTGATTTACAGTCATAAATGCCCACCAGTCGTACAGCACCAGAGTATCTATGAAGTTCCTGAAGCAAACCTTGATGCTGCTTTAAAAACATACAGGATTTTACTTTGTGTCTTGCCTTTTTGTGGGGGAAAATGTTGACAACAGCACAAATTTCTGTTCTACAGCAAAGCTATTATGTCAGCCATATTATAGGAAAACTGCAGCAAAAACATTGCACCTATAAAGCTTGACAGATGTAGTCTTGATTAAGTCAGCTCACAGCCGGTCCCTGCAATGTCCAGTCCCAGTACTTCAAACTAAATACTGCAAATGGACAATAAATCCTCCCTAAACTGACACAGTAAGTGTCTTTCGATCTCATTAAAAAATTAGAAATAAATGGCATATACATCTGAAATATTTTAATAAAGCTCTGATACAAATAATGAAGGTATATAGATGCACTTACTCTGCATTAAATCCATTCACATGCAAGATCCGCATTTGTTTGACAATTGTGCTTTTACCAGATTCACCAGCACCTAGGAAATGAAAATAAAGCAAATTGAGGGAGGGGGAAATACATCCAAGCACACAGGAGCTGCTTTGATTCAAAACGGAAAATTCATGAACCTGGGTTACTCACTGCACAACTGAAAACTGAATGGGGGGGGCAGAGAAATAATTACCACTGGAAACTGCAACTGAAGCTAAAAATAAACGTCCAGCTGAAGTCATTTGTCAGAGCCGAAGCCTGGAATATATCACTATCCATTTTCCCCCAGTGTCTTCAGCAAAACAACTTGAACAAGGAAACTGAGGCAAGCACAATTTCATCCTCTTGGAAGGGAAAAAAAGAGGAGGCATCTTAAAATATTTACCACTCCAAAACACAGTGGAAGAATGAACTGCAGTTCTACATGCTAAGCAAATCACTTGCCAGTTGTGCCACTAAAAACCTTCATGTCTGTAATAATATCCAAAGAACGTTTATTACAATGAAACTGAGGAAAGAGACTCTGCCGTTAAAACAAGAGGGGTGAGGGGAACCCTCTACCACCATTGTTCCAGTACTGTACAAGATAAGACGGAGTGCTCCTGGTTCTGCATTCGGAAAGCAGCTTCCCACCCCCTCCACAGGCTTACACACACACACCCCTACATAACCAGCAAGTTGGCCAACAAGTCTGCATTTTGAGAATATCATTTTGTTCATCGCATGAGAATATGTCCTTCATTCTGCTTCCTACAAGTAGCCCCTTTCGCCTTCTCCCACTCCACACACAAGAAAGTCCCTCTTCCCACATCAGTTAGCATGCTGCACCCACTCAGTCTGCACAGTCGAGGGCCAGAGCCACAAAATCTGACTGAGATACTCAAACACTTTAGTCATTCGTTTTCAGTATTTCTGTACCAGAGCTCCCCCCCCCCCCCAATTTCTTCTGTAAGAATGCAAATCCTGCCCTCCTGCTACAGCCATACAAATGTTCTAGCATCTTTCAGATGCTCTTTTACCAACAATTTATACAACCTTTTTTTGGGGGGGAGGGGGGAAGAAGGATACATTACTAAGACCTAAATGGAATAGGGCTCACGAAGACACCATTTGTATTTTTCCCGGTGCCAGGCTTTCCCCAGCACACACTGACAGCACAAGCCACCATTTTGAGTCTGATATACAAAACCAAATTTTAGCAGCTCTGTATCAAAATATATTCTTCCAGGAGTTTCTAATTTTACATTGCCTTTTCATTCTCTCATCTGCACAGCCCTTCAGACCTACAGTACTTTACTCCAACACTATTAACACCCGCCATCTTCTCTAAATCTAGTGTCTGACCACTCCATTACCAAGATGTGAAATCTGTACTCCCTATCTGTACCTTACTCTTGAAATATGCTGGTGAAAAAGAAGGTCCGTAATTTTTTTCTAAAGTAGACAAAAAATTGCTTTAAGTACTTGCCAGTCATTGTGTAGTAATATATAATGAATAATCTATTGTACAAGCAGTAAGAAAGCAAAGGTATTCCCCTCAGCCCTTTACCCTTAAGACATATCATAATAACCCATTATTTGGGAGGGTGACAACCATCTTCAAATGAGAGCAGTGTTTCAAAAACACACAAAAAAATTACTTAAATTTTAGCCTCAATTCCGAAATTTCTAAGAGTTACCCCAAACAGAGTAAAAGTGTTTCCCCCTCACTATACGTTTCAGATTCTGTAATCATATGCCTCATTGTGTTTGTGACTGGGGCATCAATTGTTTCTCTGACTGAGATACCATGCTGTGAACCCTTAAGATGCATATAGTTTTATGAACAAGTTTGTTAAGTAAAAAATGCTCTTCTTATCATCATCTTCTTAATGCGTTCACGACATTTCTTGCCATAAAATTGGTGTCCTAAGTGTAACAGTTATCTGTGTGACTGTTTACAGCTACCACTTTTAAAAGTACATATCATCTGGGGAAGTCATCTCACAAACACACATGGAAGCCATGCAGTGCCTGTGAATTTTTGTTACTTTTCCAAGAACCCAAGCTTCAGGAATACATTAAGGTATCTATATATTCTTTTCTGGATACTTAAGATGCAAACCTAATTGCAAATGTCTAGGTCATACATAGAATAATTTGAACAGCCTTACTTCCCAATACCCACTCAAAAGATCACAGTCCTTGTGGTGCTTCTCTACACGTGAACTGTGAAAACAGTACAGTCAAACATTTTCCTCCAGCTTATATGAAAACAGATCTCAGCAAACACTTTAGTATAGAAAATGACATTTTGCCTCTTCTATATAAATTTTATACAATTTTCTCTAAGTTAATGGTGTAAAAACACACAAACGTATTCACATAGCACATTCTAAGTTCAGAAGGCTTATTTCCTCATTCTACCCACCATGCAAAGTAACACCTATTGTAGCAACCCTAGCTTCCTTTTCCTCACTCATTCACAAGCAATATTCTATTGCTAATAGATACCACCATGTCACACAGATTTCCAACATTGATGGCAATGAAAATAGCAAAAAGAAGAATGAGAATTCTTCATAGTACTAAAAGAAAACTTTTGCTTCCACTGGTTTCAATAGCCTCCTTTTCTGCTTCTAGCTCTCTCTCTTTGCTCTGAATCTCCAAAGAAGTGCCATTCTACACTGCCCACTTATTCAGATACACTCCATTCTTTCCCTCCTCCAACTCAACAACATTACTGTAAAGCTCACATACTTCCTGATCTGATGTGGGTGCTAAATGCCCTAGCCCCAATAGTCAAAGGGTGAGGGCATATTTCCTTCACACATCCCAGTCTATGGGTCCTCAGGAAGCGACATGACTCTTAAGAGATGCTAAACATTCTGTTGCCAGCACCCCAAAATATATATTCCTCCAGCTCTAAGATGATTATTATTAAACTTGACTTCCACTGGCAGCAACTTCAATCCGCAACAGTACCAAAATAATTGTTTCAAAAGGAGGGTTTTCCACACAACACCATTTTCCCACACACCAGTTAATAATACCTGTGAGGTGGAGACAAAGATGGGGGTGAGGCAAATATGTAACCTTTTCTGTATCAACCAACTCTGGGAGCAAGGGAGTCTTAAAAACAAAACAAACAAACAAACAAAAAACAAACCCAAGGCTAGGCCAAACTCTAGATTATAACCACTGAACTCTAGCAATATATAAATAAATAACGGTGAGTAGGAGAAAGGGTAGTACTCCTTACAAAAATTATACACTGAGGGTATCTCATGGAGGAACCATGGTGGGTGGGTGGCAGCAGTAAAGTTTTCCCAAGAGTGGAAATAGGCAAGCCACCTACCTCTCCCACCACGTTCGTGAAAGGAGTAAGGGGGAAAAAATAAGGAAGGGTTGGAAGAAAAGGACATAACCTTTCGAAGCTTAAAATTGGCTCGCCATACATTTGCTCCTCATGACAGACAGCCAGCCAGCCGCCCCCACCCCACCCCACGCCCGGTTTCCACCATGGCTGCAGTACGAGGAGCTGGAGCTGACAAGCCAGCGCCCGAGGCCTACCCAGTCCCAGCATCCCCCCCCACCGCTGCCTTTCCCCCTCCTCACGGCCAGCCTCTGGAAAGACCCGCTTCCTTCCCCTTCGCCTCCTGCTCGTCCCTGTCAAGTCCAGAAAGGGCCTCCTTCGGATCTCCCATGGC